ATTAAAGAAAAAATATATCACTTTAAAGATTACTAGAAATGTTTAGAAAATATATTTGGTTGGTTCGAATAAATTGGTGAATAATATGTTTGGTTATGAGGATAATGAGTGGGTATGTTATATAGATTACTAAATTACCCTCATTTTTAAATATTAATATAATATTATTTTTATTATAATTTTTTGAATTATCTTTAAACCCCCTATATTTGAAATTTTGCTAAAACACCCCAGTCATATAAAACTTTAATTTGTAGCAAAATCATCCCATCTACCCCAAGCCACTGTCTGCAGTCAGGCACCACTGTTGGTCGTTGCCGGCAGTCAACGGAATGGTGCACAACTAACCGTATATGGCCGACCGTGTGCCAACAAAGCCATTTTCAACCATGGATTATAATTCTATGGTCGTTTCATGGCCAGATCTATGGCCATTTCATGACCAAGGATCTGGCCTTTTCATGGTCACATTTTTGGCCGTGAAACAGCCAAAGAAAAGCCAGATCTGGTTGTTTCCGACCATGAATATGTGATCCATGGTCGGAAAAGGCCTTATTGGCCTATGACCAGTCAGATCCCGTCGGTCGTGCATCATTACGACGATTGATGTCGAGGGTGGTTGGGGGTATTTTGTTAACTTTTAAATTTTTTTGTGGCTGGGGTGTTTTAGCTAATTTCTCAAATGTAGGGGGGCTAGGTAATTGTTATTTGGTAGACATTTGAGGACAATTGTGTCCGAAATTGTATTTAATTAAGGGCAAAATAGGTAAAAAAATAAGATTACCCGGTAATATTTTAATCCCGGGGGGAGGGTATTTGATTACCCTCAACATTACCAACAGTAAACACTATTTACAATAAAAAATTCTCGTAATATTTTATTACTTGCAAACCAAACACCAAAATCTTGCAAAATAAACGAAGATTACTCTCGTTATCTTATATGCCCTCTATCCAAATGCACCCAAAGAGAAATTATTTTTAGCTCCCATCTAATTTATTAGTACCTCCACTTTTTAAATTTTTTTTTTTAGTTTGACAACTTTAGCATTAATAAAAATTGTTCTATTTTATATTTTTGTTTTAATCTTTAACCTAAACCTAAATTTTCATAATAATTTAACTTTTTAATTTATTTCAAATATTTGTTTGATGAAAATATATTAGAGAAAGTTATCACACATTGGAATGAATATGAAGATGAAAAAGCAAGTTTTAAATTTAGAATTGTGAAAGAGGGGCGTAAACAATAATATAATTAAGCTTAGAGGGCTATTTCAATATTAAATAGGGTTTAAAATATATATATTTTTCTAAAATATGAAATAGGTATGTTCAGTAAAGGGAGATATTGAGAAATTAGATGGGGGCTAAAAATCACTTCCTAAGCTAAAATGAGTTTTATAATGTGTTTGAGGTTGCTGTAGTTTAAAAAATAATCAATTAAGTTTTAAGTTACAATAATAAAAGTATTTTTGGTAAACAACTTTTAAAACTAATTAAGTTTGATGCTGATTATAAAACAATAAGATTTATAAAAGGATTCTAAAAGCTACCTAGGTAGTTTTTCAAAATCAGATTATTTACAAAGTTGATTTTGTATATTTAAATGACATATATACCCATGTATTACTGTTTTATTTACAAAGAATTTAAATAAAAAATTAATTTTTAAAATATATAATTTATTTTTTTTATGAAATAAATCAAATTGAATTGATAGGTGGTTATTGATATTGGTGGTGGCCAAATTCCAACGATCTCTAGTGATGCGTGTCATTCATCACTGCCTATCCTATCTGGCATGAGCCGATCAATCAAAATCCGATGAAATCACCAGATTCCTACTTGTTATTTTGCCACAAAAGGCGACTAAGTGTTTCGCTGCCTTTTGTAGACGGTTGTGATGTTAACGCTCCATTGTTTACTGGTGTTGACGCTTGACCAATGGTTGACCACCGTTGGACAGATCCAATTTTTTTTTAACTATAAATTAATTAATAATTCAGTTAACATAAATTTTTATTATGTTTTAAAATATTTATTATATACTTAAGAAAATAAAATTTAGAATTATAAAAATATTTTAAGAAATAAAATGTGTGTTTTGGTCATTATATATACACTAACAATTTCAAAATCTAATTTGCCAAACATACAATCATAGAATTTTGGAAATCACATTAATTATAAAAGTAGCATTCACCAAACATATTCTGAATTATTTTTAAAACTGATTATTTCCAAAATTGATTAAACCTAAGAAAAATGCTATCCTTATAAGTTACAAAGAATTATACAAAGAAGGCTACAAAGTGAACAAAAATCAAAGAAAAAACGGAAAAAGAGAAAGAGAGAAAGAGAGAAATCATGAAGATCAAAGGTAGGGGTTGTCTTTGTATGCCCTCTTTGTACTTATCTTTGTAAGATTATCAATTCTCTAAACCTAAAACTACAACAATCCCAAATTAACCTTTAATTTGACAGATGATAGCCCACGGACCGATCCTTGTTAAGGCCCACATAAACTCACCTCTCAATTTTATTTTCAATCAAATGTAAATAAATCAAATAATATATGAAATTACGTATTACCTTGATCAAGTTTTTCACTGTCAACTGTGAGTTATTTTTAATGGATGATAATATCCCTTTTTTAAAACCATTGAAGCCAAAAATTAAAATACAATTTTGCCCTTCCATATATCGACAATGCTTTGGTGGCGTCTTAAAATGAAACGCATGGGTTAATTAAAAATGCAATAGATTCACCTGCCTGCTACTTTCCAGAACAGTAGGGGTTGATTAATTATGTCCCTTTGATTTATGGTTAAAAGCCGCCTGCGTACGTAGCAATAGGACTTGTTAGCATTATGAGATATCATCATATCTTTTATATAATTTGAAAATACTAGGTATTATTAAATTTATTATGTTTACTACATTAGCATTATAAATGCAATATCACTTCTAACCAATACTAATAAAAAAATGAAAGAGATATGATATCTTCACCCTCTAAGGTTTTCCATTTGTCCCATTGTTATAGTGTAATTTTTTTTTTTTTTAATAACCAAAGTGTTCGGCCCGATTTGCACACCTCAATAAATCATCAAGTTTATTGAATAACCTATAAAATTAACGAAGGGAGCAAACCTTATTGTATAGTTTTTGAATATCAAACACATCCATTTCTTCTCCTTGTTATTTTCTTTCAATAAGAAATTATCAGTCATATATAAAATTCAAATAAATAGAGAAAAATTGACTATCAGAGTCGAACTGATCATGATCATTGCATTACAAATCGTGTTACTCTTCACAGAATACATATAAAATTCAAGACGTATTAAACTTGGAAATGATGAATACGCTGGCTGAAGTTGAATTTTTCACCGCACGAGAAAGAAATCACTACCATGGTTAACGTACTCAAGTCTAACACGCCATTTATTTTTGTCCTTAATTCACAAATGTTGATTTATCAGACTTATTGATTACGTCCTGGTCCTGGAAAAGATAATATGGATATTTTTCTCTACTCTCTCTGAGAACAAGTTGGCCATCACATGATTTTTCTATCAAAAAATGCTGCGAGTATATTTGACAAGAAATCTCATTTAACTTATTTAATTTATCTTTAATTTTAAGTTTTATCTAATTATTTTAAAATCTTGCAGTTTATATATACCTATATATGTATATGACAATTTGTATAAAAAAGTTTGCACATGAAATATTATTATTTTTTGTTTAGGTTATAGGATTTCTTTTAAGAGTAAACAACTTTTTCCCACCAAAATAAAGGCTTAATGACACAATTTCATTCATAGAGTTTTACAATACTACTTTATTATCTAAATTTATATTCTGACGGCGTACAGAGAGCAAACTCGGTTCAGACTATTGGAGCTTTTGAAGAGGTGAGGTTGATGAGTCTTTTGGTGGTGGAAGGTTGAATTTTGGTAGTTGGAGTTGATTGAAATTTGACTTGGGAAGGGTGAGTGCGCAAACCCTAATTGCTTAATTGCTGACGATTGATGAAGTCGGTGGGGATAGGGTTTGAGGGTTTTTGGTGAGTAATGTTCGGGGAAGATAATAGTGGTGTGAGGTCGCAACAATGCCGGAATTGAAACCAGAATATAAATTTAGATAGTAAAGTGGTATTTTAAAAGTCTTGGGTAAAAAAATGCCATTAAGCCATTATTTGGATAGGAAAAATTCGTTTACTCTATTTTTTTTTTTTAAATAATGAATCTTGTTTACTTATATTTAAGGAAATGCATTTGTAAAGCGTTTATAAAATGTAATATTGGTTTTGTCAATGGTCATACGAAGGATCTAAGTTTAAAAATCAATGATCGGTAATATAATATTTTTTTATGAAATTTAGTGAGTAAAGGATTCAAGTCAAACATAGATCTCCAATGAAAATAATGCGATACCTACTCTTGCTAAAATTTTATTAAACAATTTGAAGCTCTACTCGTAAGAAGTAGTAAAACAAAGATATGACACCTTTCTTACGTAAAAAGTGGCTTACAAAATAATGGGTTTGGTATAACTAATCTATCCAGATTAAGCCAAAGCAAAAAGTTTAATTAAAGAACTATTTAATTTTATTAGAGTAATCTCCGACAATCGATATTTAATATATTTTTTTATAGCATCCAAGAGAAGCCTCCTTTCAGATACTTCTGTTATATTACTTCTCATTGACATCATTTTCCTAAAATAAATAGTATTTTCATATTTTGGTTTCAAATCCTAAGACATTTTTATCAGAATATTGGTTGAAACTTCTCGTAGAAAGCCAAATACGAACTGGAACACAAAAATTCCTCTTCCTTATTTCGATTAATGTCTTGTTCTCTATCTATATTCACGTGGTATAAATAATTTTAAAACTATTTTGTCAACTTTAAGATGCGTAGTAACGTGCACAAGAAAAATGTTAGAAAATTCTTAGCTATTTCATTATAAAGCATCAAATACTCTGGCACCTTAATCACAACAAAACCGGGAAACCAAAGATTCATGGTCATGGCGTCGAGTTTCTCTCTATCATCCACCACTCCGATCATCCTCACCTCCTCTGTCTCTCCTTCTCAAAAGGCATCTCAACTCTCCATTGTTCGAAAGCGTAAACCCTATTCCATTCGTAAATCTTCAGTATCATGCACAGCCACAAATGGTGATCAAAACCCTATCCCTAGTTCCAAAGATGGAGTAACTTCTGTGAACAAATTCGATAGAAGAGATGTCCTACTTGGTCTGGGAGGTCTCTATGGAGTGGCCAATCTCTCTTCTGATCCATTTGCCTTGGCTTCTCCGATTCAAGCTCCGGATTTAACCAAATGTGGCAAAGCTGACTTACCTACTGGTGCAAAACAAACAAATTGCTGCCCACCATCATCTACGAAAATCATAGACTTCAAGCTCCCTAAATATAATACTTTGCGAATCAGGCCTGCCGCACATTTAGTTGATGATGCATACATAGCGAAATACTCCAAGGCTATTAAGCTCATGAAAGCTCTTCCTGCCGATGACCCACGTAGCTTCACGCAACAAGCCAATGTTCATTGCGCCTATTGTGATGGGGCTTACCACCAAGTTGGCTTTCCCGATCTTGACCTTCAAGTTCACAACTCGTGGTTGTTTTTCCCGTTTCATAGATATTATCTTTATTTCTATGAGAAGATATTGGGAAAATTGATTGATGATCCAACTTTTGCTTTGCCATTCTGGAATTGGGATTCCTCTCCTGGCATGAAAATGCCTGCCATGTATGCAAACTCTAGTTCACCACTTTACAACACACTACGCGATGCAAAGCACCAGCCACCGACACTCGTCGATCTTGATTATAATCTTACTGATGAAACCACAACAAATCAAGATCAAATTAATAGCAATCTTAAGGTCATGTACAGACAGATGGTGTCTAATGGCAAGAATGCTAAGCTTTTCATGGGAAGTGCATACCGTGCCGGTGATGAATCTGATCCAGGAGCGGGTTCGTTGGAGAACATTCCACATGGGCCGGTTCATATATGGTGTGGCGATCGCACACAGCCGAATATAGAGGACATGGGGAATTTCTACTCAGCAGGGAGAGACCCTATCTTTTTCGCTCATCACTCGAACATTGACCGATTGTGGACGGTTTGGAAGACATTAGGAGGGAAGAGAAAAGATTTCACTGACTCAGATTGGCTTGACGCCAGTTTTCTTTTCTATGATGAGAACGCCAATCCTGTTCGTGTTAAAGTTCGTGATTGTCTAGATACTAAAAAATTGGGATATGTTTATCAAGATGTTGAAATTCCATGGCTAAAATCTAAGCCAACGCCTAAAAAGTTTTTCAAGAAAGTGGCAAAGACGTTTGGTCATGTAGCACATGCAGCTGAGTTGAAAACAAACTTTGTTGCGGCAACCCAATTCCCCATAGTTTTGGACAAAACTATAAGCACTGTGGTTCCGAGGCCAAGGAAATCAAGGAGCAAGAAGGAGAAAGAAGAGGAAGAGGAAGTATTGGTGATAGAGAGCATTGAGTTTGAAAAAGATGCGGCGGTGAAATTTGATGTGTTTATCAATGATGAGGATGAGGTGGCAACTGGGCCGGACAAGACTGAGTTTGCGGGGAGTTTTGTGAGTTTACCGCACAAGCATAAGCACCACAAGAAGATGAAGACTCGTTTGAGATTGGGACTGACAGATTTGTTAGAGGATTTGAATGCTGAGGATGATGACAGTGTGGTGGTGACTTTGGTGCCGAGATATGGGAAGGGTCTTGTTAGCGTTGGAGGTATTAAGATTGAATTTGCCGATGATTAAGATTAATTAGTCATCTTACGTACCTTGCTTGTTTAACTCATGGCTTTGACAAGACTATTGTGTTTTATTTGGATTAATTATGTATGCATATTGAAGCTGCTTGCATATAATCCCATTTTGCAATCAACTGGAAGATTCTTATTTTTGAGTAAATAAATGAGAAAAAATATGCTTCAGTTTCATGTGTCAACTTATATCACAAACGTACACAACATATTGTGTATATATTTAAGTTATTTTTCTGGGATCATTTTTCTTACCACTCGCTCAATACAGTTTTAGACTTAATGCGAAATTCTTATAATTAGATCTTTTATGCAATGTTATACCCAGCCGATCTTTGACCGGTCAAGGGCCGGTCCTTGAGTTGGACGGTCTGACTGGTGGGTCGAACCGGTGACGTTATGCTAACATCAACATAATCTAATAAATTTTTAAAACTCAAATAATTAATAAATCTCTAATTACTAATAAATTTCATACCGACGTCATGCTGACATCATTGGTTCTTTCACCCGATGGTTGAACCGACGATTCATCACTATTCTACCGGTTCAAGCTCGGGTCGATCCAATCCAATGGCTAAAATGAGTTTTAGCGATCTAGTGGACCAGATTAGGGACGGGTTCCCGATCAGACTAGTCGGTCTGATTTGGGTTTTAAGACCATGCTTTTATATTTAATAAAAAAATAAAAGTTTTTTGATGAATCAATATAAAATTTTAGTTTGATATATAATAACAAATTTGGTAATTAGAAAAGAAACTTATAATAATAAACTCTTAATTCTTGAAGCTGGCGAGTAATCTGGGCATCTGTATACAACACCGTTTAGGATCAACAAGTTGGCCATTATATAAACATGGTTTATCCACTTGATACGGGGTTTGTTCATAACGAAGAGAAGGAGTCTCGTTTATTTTTATCTACGAAAATGCATTACTAAATCATTTTTATTATATACCAATTGTCATATCAAATGCAGGACAAGCTTAACCATTAATTTAAGAGGGGTGCCAAATAGCCTCCACTAATTCTCTTTCCAGCCCCCATTTATTTTTAACATTTTTACTATAATATCCTTAGTAAAATACCTTAATGCACCCATGATTATTATTTCCCTTAAAAAAAAAAAAAGAAAAAAAAGGGAACTTAACAAATCTGTAAAACACGAAATGGTCTTTGTTCTTTCATTTACATTGACTTTACCATCCACCAAAGAAATAAAACTAAAACCATTAAACCCCAACCATTTAAACTTTACTTTTTTTTTTAACCTTACTCAATTGTAAATTTTTTTCACAACCCATAATCTATTTTATTTCTTCATGTGTAATTGATTGAAAACTTAACAATAAAATATATTTTAATTTAATTTTATAACAAGGGATTAATGAAATAAAAAGCTTTGAAGTCATTGACAGTGCTTCAATAAATACAAGTAGGAATAATATCAGCATGGAAGTGATTAACAAAAGTTTGGTTTCAGAAAAATTATGATTTGAGAATTTTCTTTACATTGTCTTGAAACTTTTTTTTTTTCCCAAACAAAAAAAAAAAAAAAAAAAAAAAAAAAAAAAAAGGTTTGAGAGTGATTAATTAAAAAAATACAAAATTAAAGGACAATTATGAAATTAATATAAATATATTTAGAAATGAAGCCAAGATAATTGATGGATGCTTATAGCATCACTCAGTCTTCAAATACTAAAACAAGGACATATATAACTACTTTCTTACGTAAAGTATGCATGGCTTTCTCCAAAGTGGCTTATAAAATAAGACAATGTACTTAATATATCTTCCCAATCCTTTACTTATTCACGTGGTATTATATAATTTTGAGAACTATTTTGTAAACTTTAAGTTAAGATGCATGGCAACTTGCAGAAGAAAAATGTTAAAAACAGTGAACGATTAGCACCATCCTCAACTTTCTCTTTGTCATCCACCGTTCCAATCATCCTCACTTCCAGCCTTTCTCCTTTTTCTCAAAAGACAGCTCAACTCTCCATTGTCCGAAGGCCTAAACCCCATTCCATTCGTAATTAAATCATCCATTTCATGCAAAGCCAAAAATGGTGCTGGAGACGCTTCCTCCAAGAGCAAAGTTGATAGAAGGGATCTCCTCGTTAGTCTTGGAGGCTTCTATTGTTAGGATTATTAGGATATAATTAGGATAATTAGGAGAAGTCCTTTTATAATTAGGCTATTATCTAATTAGAATGATTATAATATCTTTTGAGTTAGGCAATTAGATTAGAATTAGGCAATTAGAGTCCTTCTAGAATTAGAATAATTTGTAAGGCTATATAAAGCCTAAAACAATTAGGGTTTGGTAGGTAATAATCAATAAAAAGTTCTCTTCCCTTAAACTCTCTATTCTCATTCTTCTTGGAGGTTATGTTTCCTCATATAAAACAGAAACACTGTCCTATCAATTGGTGCACTCGTTCCCTTTCCATGGCTAACCCTTCCCGCCTAAAGACTCTAGATGAACAGGTCTCTCAACAAGGGGCCAAGCTAGACGCTCAAGAAGCCAAACTTGACTCCTTGGAGGGTCTTTTGGAGGCTATTACACTAAAACCAACTGCCATTGACGCCAAGCTAGAACAAGAACGACAATAGAAGGAGCCCATGGGGGACAGTCATGGGAGTGGCGATCGCTAGAGGTGAAATTAAGTGGAGTTGAGTATCTAATTACTCGAACTTGACTCAGATGCTACAATACCAAGTTCAAGTTCAAACTCGAACCTGGTCGAGCTTAGGGAATGGAGATTGAACTCGAACTCGTTACATTAAATGGGTACTCGCACTTGAGTTCGAGCTCAGTTAATTAAGTTCAAGCTTGGTTAATGGAATCATGCCGTAAAGATGGGTAAAAAGCAGGTAAGGACAATGGTTATGGCTATTTTTTGGTGATTAGAGGGCGAAATGGTCAAAACTTAAGGGGGTTGGGTAAATAGATCGGTTGGCATTGCCATGGCAACCACGATAAACTAAGAAAAAAATGAAGAGAGGAAAATGAACACACACACACACACACACACACATATTCAAACTTGGCTCAATATTTGTCGAGTCAAGTTCGAGCTTTTCTTGAGCTGCTTGTGAGCGGTTCGGCTCGGCTAACACCCTGTATGAACAAAAAATCATCTTGGACTTGACGAGACCCTATAACGAAATAAACAGATCATGACCCAAGGCTTTAGCCTAATCCCGATTGGGCCTACGCTTAATGACACCTTGTGAACTGCTCACTCAATGAGTTGGACTATCCTACAAGTTAAGCTAAACTGGGTTATGACCCATTAGCTTGCAACAGTCCATAAATAGGAAATCATAATCCCATTCTATTTCCTCTTCTACTAAGATTCCAAATCTTACCCAAATTAGTAAACTTAATCTAATAAAGGCAAGAAATTATATTTCTTTTCTGATAGTGATTATCTCTCAAAGTAGGACTCAGTGTCTTACTAGGATTCCAACCCCCTGGGTTTATTATATAAACAGAGGCCTGCCCTCTCATAGGGGGATCTGGAATATTCAATCTCCACTACTCAAAATCGTCTATTTGCTCTTAAGTTCTTGCTCCCGAGAATTCTACACCTTCGTCGTAGTCCTGGCCTCCAACTAGACTCCTGGTAACCTTTCTTTCCCTTAATTATTATTAAATAATATCTTTTAGCCTTGCTGACTTGAGTGTTGGAGTGCTTACAGCAAACACCACCCCGATGTTTTCTGTAAGCTTCATGTTTATCTCTTCATGTGTGTAGGTCCAACGGATTGTCAGTGGCCTCAACCTCACGAGATTAGACCCTACTTCCATAACCATAGATTTTTTGCATTTACACACCCCTAGCGATGGCACTTCCCTACCCGGTTTGAGTTTGCATTCTTTTGGGTCTGCCCCACCTTTTAAGCCTTTTAGATTGGAGGTGCCACACTTTGATGGCACGGATCCACGCGACTGGAGGTTGAAAGCTGAACAATTTTTTGATTACCATAATACCCCTACAACGGTTAACAATCTTTTCCTTCCACATGGATGGGCCAACTCTCTGATGGTATCACTAGATGCATTCCAATGGGTAGATTTGTTTTGGGCATTCTTTCCTACAAGATTTAGATGTTTGTTTTGGACCTTCGGAATTTGTGGATTACTAAGGGCAGTTGGCCAAACTTACCCAAGTAGGTTCTATAGCTGTTTATCAGAAAAAAATTTAGGAACTGTTTAATTAAGTTTCTGGCCTTTTGGGTACATTCCTTCTGAGTTGCTTCATATCAGGGCTCAAACCAAAATTCCGAAGGAAGGTGTAGTCCTTCCGGCCTCACACCCTCAACCACGCCATGAGTCTTGCCTGCTTGCAAGAGGACAAGCTGTAAGATCTACACTTATACCTGCAATCTGTCGACCCCATATCTTGGGATCCTAATAAATCAGTTCCTAATATTTCTTCAGTGCAGGGGACCTTCTTGCCAACTCCAAACCAAAAGGGGTCCTTGCCTGTTAAGAGACTCACGACGTCACAAATGCAAGAACGGAGTGACAAGGGTTTATGTTATAACTGCAATGAGCGCTTTCAACCTTGGCATCGCTGCAGGGCTAAGTTTTTTCTCTTGATGGTGGCAGAGGATGACAATGAGGTTCCCCTATCAGAAATGGAGGCATCGTATGACAAGGACGAACCGAGATAGCTGTTGGTGTTGTACCTTGTAACCCTGAGGACAAGGTTGAGTCGAAAGGGAAGGAAATGTTAGGATTATTAGAATAGAATTAGGATAATTAGGCTAAGTACTTTTATAATTATGCTATTATCTAATTAAAATAATTATAATATCTTTTGAATTAGGCAATTAGAGTCCTTCTAGAATTAGAATAATTTATAAGGCTATATAAAGCCTAAAACAATTAGGGTTTGGTAGGCAATAATCAATAAAAAGTTCTCTTCCCATAAACTCTCAATTCTCATTCTTCTTGGAGGTTATGTTTCCTCATATAAAATAGAAACACTATCCTATCATCTATGGTGTGGTCGATCTCACTTCTGAAGCATTTGCCTTGGACAATGGTCCAATTCAAGCTATCCAAATTTGGGAAAGCTAAATTAATTGAAGGTGCAAAACCCACAACTTGTTGGCTTCCAACTGCTGATACTATCAAATACTACATGGTCCCTAAATTTAGTACTTTGCGAGTTAGGTAGC